TTAAGGATGCTTTTCTGAACATAAGGGAACACATGCTGAGGGATGTGCAACGGTCATTTATCCAAAGACTACGGCTGTGTGTTCAACATGGTGGAGATATTTTCAAGCAGTTTTTGTAGATTAGGTCTTGAGTAGAGATAGTTGTTTGCGTATGTTATTGTTTTCCTCTATTACGCTTGAAGCTGATTTATACTGATTGTTATTAGTTTTTACGTCAAATCTGTACTCTTACTGGCAATATGGAACTAGTCCACTGTTTGTCTTTTGTTTCCATGGATGATGTGATTTTTGCCTTAATTTCGGTGTGTTGTTCTATTAGAAGCTTAATATCTCAAGATCTAGTGCTCTTGTCTGAATCAAACCGTATACCAAAAAAGCTTATAAAAAATGGAATCCAAACCTGCACAAATATTCAGGGTGATACATTTGAAATTTTTGAGAAAAAGTACAATTCGCATTTATGACCACCCTGTATGAGCAAAAATAAAAATTCGATAAAGTAACAAACAAGATAAAAGCTAAGGTGAGTAAGTTTTTTTGATACAAAATGCAGCACTCCAAATTGGAAATTGGAGGATTGATGGGTTGCCGAAGTGGACGATTTTTCTGGTATTTTATATCAATATTCTTCTTTTGAATTGGTTTATCCAAATATGCAATATTCAATCCATTTAAAAAATTACATCTTAGATATGTAGGTCAAGATTGGGACACCCTGTATAATTGCAAAATTTTTAGAAATGTGCCCTCAAATGTCATGTATAACATACCATAAAGCGATTTTCCCAAAGTCTATTTGTTTATGCGTAATATTCCGTCCACACATGGATGGGCCACCCTGTATATAGATACAGGGTGACTTCGAAGTTGAGTCATTTATTTTAACAGTGAGTAGATCTGATCAAAAGAAATGTTTTTTTCCTATACCATTTTTCTGGTAAAATTAAAGTAACAAAGTTATAGCCCTTTGGAAGTTTGAGTACCGCCTTGTCTCAATAATAATATCATGTGCTCGTGTTTGGCAACAACGGATATAATCCGCATTATCGGTTCATCGCATCGGAAACAAAAAAGCGAAAGAATTTGGAACGATGTTTTTACAATTGTTTTATTCAGTTCAGTTATACATACAGTCAGTGTCGTCAGTCGGTAACGCGTGTGAATAGTGTCTGTTGCGTGGCTCAAACGAAATAAAAAATGGCACATGTTTATGCGGATCGGTTTCCCAATCGAGTGCAACCAACCCCTCGTGCCTTTGTTAATGTAGTACAACGGGCTCGTGAATCAGGTGACTTAAGACCTCACAGGGGACCTCACGATCAAATACAGGTCCGCACTGAAATACTTGTCGGGAGGATACTTTATAAAACAAGGTAAAAATTTTTTTTAATTTTTTTTTTATTTTTACACACATATTTTGGTTTATCTCCCTTCTACAATCATTATCTGAAAATTAATGACTCAACTTCAAAGTCACCCTGTATATTACCCCGTATGTTCGCCCTTAAGACTTAAAGTGATAGAAATATTTTGTATATGAAATCCACTAGCTGCCCTCGGGCGAGGATCTACTCGACAAATGTTTCAGCTGGATAGCTAAGAAGATGACAACGATGACACGGCGATTACCAGGACAATATTATTTTGTTGGGAACAAATAATCAGACGGGGTGGCAACAATGTGGCTGTAGTTACACGGGTGTGAAATAACAAATAGACGTTCACCAGTTGTCTGCGATTAAGGAGACATTTTGTGGGATTAAGAATCTTGTCTATTTGTAGTACCTTTGCCTCAAGAAACTAATACCAGGGCGTACGAAAGTTGTCCTTGATTATTTAAAAAAACTGACAATACTTTTCCTCCAACTATATATACAGGGTGACTTTGAAGTTGAGTCATTAATTTTCAGATAATGATTGTAGAAGGAAGATAAACCAAAATATGTGTGTAAAAATAAAAAAAAAATAAAAAAAATGTTTACCTTGTTTTATAAAGTATCCTCCCGACAAGTATTTCAGTGCGGACCTGTATTTGATCGTGAGGTCCCCTGTGAGGTCTTAAGTCACCTGATTCACGAGCCCGTTGTACTACATTAACAAAGGCACGAGGGGTTGGTTGCACTCGATTGGGAAACCGATCCGTATAAACATGTGCCATTTTTTATTTCGTTTGAGCCACGCAACAGACACTATTCACACGCGTTACCGACTGACGACACTGACTGTATGTATAACTGAACTGAATAAAACAATTGTAAAAACATCGTTCCAAATTCTTTCGCTTTTTTGTTTCCGATGCGATGAACCGATAATGCGGATTATATCCGTTGTTGCCAAACACGAGCACATGATATTATTATTGAGACAAGGCGGTACTCAAACTTCCAAAGGGCTATAACTTTGTTACTTTAATTTTACCAGAAAAATGGTAAAGGAAAAAACATTTCTTTTGATCAGATCTACTCACTGTTAAAATAAATGACTCAACTTCGAAGTATGTGTGTATGTGTGAAATATCATTAATAGGCGCGTAGAATAAATAACTGGGGCTAGAAGCTTATAAATTTACTGCTGCAAAAAAGTTGAGATTCACCCTCGTAGTCCAGTGATACGTCAGAAAACGTTTTGGCGATTTTTCTTTCTTTGTTTTTGGCTTTCACCGCCGCTACTGGATCGATTTCCAAAAACTGATGAACTTTTTTGTTCTTGACATAGTATTAAACTTATGTAAAAATTTCATCCAAAACCAAACAGTAATTGCCAAGTTAGAGACGGGTCAACAATGAACGGACAGACCAACAGATAGACCGAGAGACAGATCGACGGAAATAAGCGAAATGGTTTTTCGTAATGTACATGCCATTTTATATCCAAAAAACATATGTAATTTTCAAAACTGTTTACAAAGAAATTGAGATACACCTTTCCCGTCCTTTACAACTTGTCACTCAACAATTTTTTACCGCCAAACATTTTTTAAGTACGATCAGGATCCTCTGAAATGCCAAAAAAACGAAGCGACTTCTATCTTTATCCGCTTTTGGCCCTTTTCTTCGCTGCCACTGGACCGATTTTCAAAAACTACAAAAAGTTTTTTATCCTTGGCACAATAGCACCGGTGTGTGAAAATGTCATCAACGTCCGAGGGGCACATCTCAAGTTATAGGTGGGCCAAGGATTAACGGACAGACAGACAGATGCACCGACGGAAATGACTGACATGATTTTCCGTGTTGTACATATCACATAACATCAAAAAACATATCTCTTTTTCAAAATAGATAATGTCAAAAATGTCGATAGAATGTCAACTTATTGACTAAGTAGGCTAGTGTGCAAATAGTGCTGCTAATGGTGCTGCCATTTCGTGCGTCAGCACCACTTGTTGCTAAGAGATGGCGCAATATTATTCAATTGTTTTGTACACTACACAAGTGCTTATTACACGCGTTATTTCCTTGGAGAATGGTGTGTGTTTTTGAAATTCCAGAGGCCAAGTTTCCACTGTAGGTAGCCAAGCGCTTAAATAGCCAATAGCTGAGCGCTTATCTGCATACAGCCAAATTCTATCCAAACAAGACAGCACAAAGTACCATTTATCAAAAGAATCGGCAGCTGCTAGAGCGAAAATAGCAGTGGTCGATTCTGGTAATAGATCGTACTTTCTGCTGTCTTATTTCAATAGACCTCATACTCTGGATAGAGGATAAGTGCTCAGCTTTCGTTCATTGTTCTACCTGAGACCACACGTAGACCATGCTGAGGTGTTGCCAAATAGCATGAGACAGCTGTTCATGATTGGCCGTCTGTGGTCGGTGGTGGTAGCCAAGGTTGTAAGCCTCAATCACTTTTCGGCAAATTTTACATGGCCGACTGCAAGCTTTTCGGCCTATCCCGCCAATGATCAGTCTACTACTGTCTCTACGTCATGCGTGATGATATCTTCTGGCGAGGCGTACAGGTGACGACGCTATTAGCAAGCTGAAACTGCGATAGTTTCCAGCTTCCGTGGATTCGGTCTGAATTATGATTGCGACCGCACGTGTCCTTTCAGGCGCAAGTGTAATATACGTATACCGGCAACCGGCCGTCGGCTACCAGCCGCAGCATATTCAATACAATATAGTAGCGCAACTTCGTGAAAGTTACGGTAACGTTTGGGCGACATTCTATAATCTTGAGATTTTCACACAAGCCGCGAAAAGCTGTGTACCCAAGTAGCATTTTTTATCAATGGACTATCACCCAAGAAAAAGTTACCTATATTTGACAAACCTTAGTAATTATATCCTTGAATAATGTCATCAAAAGTTGAATTGTCTACAGAGATGAATGCTTTGTCAAAAATTGGCAACTACGTAAATAACTAGGGCTCTAATAGACCGTTGACCAAGAGGTGGAATTAGATGGTCCAGAACTACAAAAAACACACCTCTAAGAAGTACTTAAAGAATTCTCGACCTTGAAAGCAAATCCAGAGGTTACTGCTTAAATAATATTAACCTAAAATATGCCCTCGATGTTAGCTTCTTTCTTGGGCAAATTGGTAAGTAAAAATTATCTCATTAGTGAAAAACTTTTAACCAATAGGTCACCGATCGACATAGTGTGATCACTAATGTATGATTTTATAGGGCAAAGTTACTACGATTTTATCACAAGGTGACCTAAATAGTTGCTTAAATCCTTCGAACTAATACTAGTAAATGCCTCTCGACCTAATATTGAGTTCTAAATTACTTTGGTTTTATTTCCCACTTTGAGGAAAAGGCAAAGGCTGGGAAGCTAATATAAACTTTTCTAAATTGGTCATGCAACCGTTTTACCCATTTTGTGGTCCAATTAACGTAATTGTAACTTAAAAAGCATTTAACAAGCATGTTGGGTATATTTCGAATGTAACCGCTCTGCCGCGGTTTCACAACGGAAAACAGCACAAACCACGGGTTGGACTGGCAGGACGTTGTCAGAAAGACACATCAACATTTGATTGAGATAAGATGAAGTCTAAAGGATAAAACGTTACGCAACACAAAAGTATCTATCTATATCACTTGATTGCAAGGTAATATAGAATTGTCTCGCAAAGCTAAACTTTCATAACCGTCCTTGCTCGTGAGCTGTTTCACTCAGGGAGAGCGCAGCACAAAACATCTACTACGCCAAGAGGTGAAACGTTTTATGGGCAAACTGGCAACGCCAGGGTCATCCTCTCCAGCCTAAATCAAGCAAACAGCATTACCGGCAATATAGAAATAATAATAATAATAATAATAATAGTAATAATAATAATAATGTCATTTAGCTTTGGTGTTATTGAATGAAGCGATACAAACCCAGCAGAAATCGATCGAGAAACTATAAAATTACTCTCCAAATTTCGTATGCTAGATCCAAAATCTGCCACGGAAAGAGTATACATACCTAGAGCCCTTGGGGGAAGAGGACTGATAAATGTTTTGCGTCTTTGCAAAGAGCAAGTGTCCAAGCTTCGTCGATATTTTTGCAACATCAATTGCCAGAACATTAGGAGCATTACAGCTATGGACCGCAACATCACCCCCATAAATTTGGGCAGAAATCATGAAGCCTTAGATCGATCAATACCGACGTCGTCTGACCTGCTTAATAGATGGAAAGAGAATGCCCTTCACGGGAGATATCCTGTAACACTTGAAAAATATGGAATTGATAAAAAGTCCTCACTATCAATTTTTGTGAAGGGCTACCTACATCCGGAATCGGAGGGTTTTCTATGTGCTATTCAGGATAAGGTTATTCGAACTAGAAACTATACTACCATATACTAGGCCTGAATACACACGACGTATGTAGAAAATGCCATACGCCAGGTGAAACAATAGAACACATTACCTCCAGCTGAAACATGTTGGCCAATAGTGCTTATTTATCCCGGCATAATCAAGTAGCCAAAATAATACACTCCACGTTAGCTCAAAATTCTAATCTCATTCAGTCAACCGCGCCATATTATAAATATACACCATTCCCAGTACTCGAGAATCAGTCGGCCCTATTGTACTGGGACAGGCCAGTCATAACCGATAAAACAGTTGACTATAACCGGCCAGACATACTACTGATCGATAAAAATAAACGGAAATCATACATAACTGATATCGCAGTGCCACTCACAGCAAACGTAATCAGAACCGAATACACCAAGGCTGAAAAGCATCAAAACCTTGCCATTGAAATCAAAAACATTTGGAAACTATCAGAGGTCTGCATAATACCAGTAGCAGTGTCTGTGGAAGGGGCAGTCTCTGTAAATCTCCACTATCACTTAGAGAAAATCAAAGTTCCAGCGCATTTTATTGCAGTGATGCAGAAAGCCGCAATCTTGCAAACATGTCACATAGTTCGCAAATTCTTCGCAATAGGATGAGGTGATTACTTGCCCACTTTTTGACCAGAACGCGTCTACAGTTCCGTGGCTCGCCATAATTCATATACCATCTTTGCAGCAATTTTTGTCCTTCGAGCAGGATTTCCAAAATTTTTCATGAAAATGTACTTGAAAACTAGGTAATCATTCACACCATTTTGTACATCTCCTCTCACAGTTTAACTGCTTTTCAGTTTGTAGTTCAGTCGTAGAACGACTATTACAGGTGAATAACCCAAAAAAGGGTCTAAGGGCAGCACCGTCAGTCGTTCCTACAATTGTAGAACGCCTTTCTGGCCTCCTTGATTTTCATAGTTTTCTACTCTTTCGTGTCAGCGCTCTTTTTTGAGGTTATGTTACAAATTAATGTCTATCTGCATCAAATTGTTCATGCTTTTGATTTATATCGTCTGTTATATGAGCCTGAAATTTGCTACAATAAAAAAAAATTTGGCGGCAGCGGTGGACGCAGTAGTAGGCTCTTCGGTCTCCTGATCAGTCGCCGTGCGCTGTGCGGGTTTGAATCCCGTCCCAAGAGAAATTTTTCTCCTGGCTATGGATGTTGTGATTGTCCGTAGGTGGTAGACGGTATCTGACTGTCGAACCTGGGGGTACCACCCGGCGGCTCTCGTAGGCGGAGCCAGAATGTGTGCATGTTGCATGCGCACGTGTTCCCTCGCGCCAGAGTCCGTGTGGCGTTCCCCTTTCCCCTGTATCCCCCTATAGTCACACGGTACACCATGGGTGTTTAGGCCTTAGGCCTTCGTGGTGGTTGGAGTATAAGAAGAAAAAAAAAAGAAAACATAGCTTCACAACAGGAAAGCGCTGACCCTGACACAGAACAGTAGGAGTCTAGAAATATTCCAGCCTTTTAGGTAAGGTTAGAGGAGACTATGAAAATCGAGAAGGCCATAAAGGCGTCCTACAATTAATTGTGGAAACGACTGGCGATACGGCACAAATACGTCGAATTTGGTTTGGATAACACCCAAACTTACAACGCAGATGCTTCAAGAGATATTTCGCTAAAAATGAGTGTAAAATATAAAGCAACACTATTAGTGATTGTCTACGTTATTGTGACTATTGCCGGATTTGTAGAAGTCAAGGAGATTGTTACAAAGTGCTATAAGAAACTTCTTAACTGCATTGTTGGAACATTGGAAACGTCAGTGTAACGAAGAATGTAAGTGTATGTTCCTGGAAGTCGCGAAAAATCGTCAGCGACGCTTATTTGGCTACAAATCACCAAACATGACAACCTTGTCCGCCTTATATATAAGATGGATGCGGGTTATGCGATGTGGGAATCCCTCATATAGTCGGTAGTTGCATTGCTGCATTATGTTAGATATGCTGTGTCATCGCTATAGCTACAGCACTACGTTGCGGCATGGTGCAGGGACATGGGATAATATTTCAGAGCGGCTGTCTTCGAATGCATATAGCGCCCTGCAACCTGTCAGCTTTACGTGCATTCGCCGTCTTTTATATACCATATAGCCTGAGAGTATCGAAATCTCACTAGTAGTACAATAAATATATGGTGCAGTCAAGAAACATTCTGACTTCAAGCTAACCAAAAGATCCCATTTGGTCGGGCAATACACGAAAAAGTTACAAAAAGATGAGAAAACGTATTCTAGTTCTGCAGATTGCATAGTATCTACCTATAATGCAAGTCCATCCGGGTATTTGAAGTGTCATAGTATTAGCGAAGAGTAGTTACGCCAAGAGGAGACAGCTGGTCAAGACAAATAAATTAGAGAGAGACAAGAGATATAACCCGGAACATGGCGTCCACAAATCATTTGATGGCGTCTAAACACGTGCTGTTCCTATTTGGTCGGAGATAAGTGCTGTGTTGCCAGGCAGATCATCCTTTATAATATTTTTTTATGTAAATTCATCGTCTATTACTTCTAATGCTCAAATTTACTATTGTGCTCTAACATGGCTGGCTTACGGAACAGGGTCTTTTGCACGGTATTTCAATTTACTTGATCACCTATATTCATATTTAATCAATGCTTATTGAAGAATAAGCATTCTATAATTTCATTTATGTCCTCGAAAAATTTATCAAGCAGAACTTCATACAGCAACAGTGAAACACTGTTATTCTCAATAAAGTGCAAATTCAATTGCTGTCATATCATTGTTATATACAGGGTGTTTCAGCTTATTGTTGCATAACTTTAAGGTTCGATAGAACTTTTAAAATTAATGCATAAAGTCTATATGAACATGGGTCAAAAAATGCGTGGCTTCCGAAATACAGGGTGTTTAAATTTACTTTCTAAAATAGTTTTTTTTAAATATTTCGAACAATATTTGATATATAACAGTGAAAATTGGTATACAAGGATTTTTTGGTACGACAAAACGAACCATGGGTATAGTTTTACTGTAGCCGCTAGAGGGAGCTCTCTACTGTACCTGTAACATTTTTTCTTAGCGCAATTTTTTGCTTTTTGAATAAAAAAACTGATTCTTCGCACTTTTCAACATAAAAAAGCTCTCCTGTCAGTTTTCGTTATAGTTAGCCGTTTTTGAGATATTTCGATTTTTAAGGTTCGATGCATTTTTAATTATTTATGGGAAAATAATATTTTTTTTTTACATTTTCGATTTGGACATTACAAGTAATTAAGATGATCGTCTAGATTGTGTTTTTGAACACAGCAATAATTCCTAGCTCCAAATAAACACGAAAAAACAGAATATTGATTTGTTTAATTATCCAATATTATTTTTTACAAATTAAATCAATTATTTACAACTAACATGCTATTGGATAGTTAGGACAAACATACAAAATCTAAACTAGTTGCTCGAAATGTAAACCCAATTGTTCAATACACAATTCACATCTACGAATGATCGAACGTGGTATAGCATTATTAAAATAAAGCCTTATTTCATCACATGCATTCCTGATTCTGTCTATTAGCATATGTCTTGTGGTTACGGGAGTCTGGTACACTTTTTCTTTTAGAAATCCCCACACAAAGAGACCTAATGAATTTAGGTCAGGGGATCGTGGGGGGCAGGCGACTGCTTCTGCTGCGTTTCCATTTACAAAGCCATACACAAAATGAATATCCGCTAACTCTTGATTGGAGAATAAAAATGGCATTTTTATAAGACTTACAAAAAGAAAACAGGTAAAAGAAACTAAATTTCATGCATTCACATTTGCAAAAAAACGTTTCAGGTTTCAACAGACAACAAAACTAACTGTCAACTAATTGACGTTTAACCTTATTCTGCCTTCAATTTCAAAAATATTTGCAGGCACAGCCTACTTCTAAAAATTATAGAGATACTGACTTTTTAACGTTATTTCATCATAAATAATTAAAAATGCATCGAACCTTACAAATCGAAATATCTCAAAAACGGCTAACTATAACGAAAATTCACAAGAGAGCTTTTTTATGTTGAAAAGTGCGAAGAATCAGTTTTTTTATTCAAAAAGCAAAAAATGCACTAAGAAAAAATTTTCGGTCATTTTAATACACTACAGTAGAGAGCGCCCTCTAGCGGCTACAGTGCTACAGTAAAACTAATCCCATGGTTCGTTTTCTCGTACCAAAAAACCCTTGTATACCAATTTTCACTGTTATACATCAAATATTGTTCGTAATATTTAAAAAAAACTATTTTAGAAAGTAAATTTAAACACCCTGTATTTCGGAAGCCACGCATTTTTCGACCCATGTTTATATAGACTTTATGCATTAATTTTAAAAGTTCTATCGAATCTTAAAGTTATGCAACCATAAACTGAAACACCCTGTATATCATTGTATTAGATTTGTGTCCATGCTTCGAGTATGGCGCAAATGCTTATTTTTCACATGCATATGATCATGGTCGCTAATTTAGTGTCCGGACGTAAATGAAAAAATACCTTTTTGTAGCTTAAGCAAGTGATTGATTGCGTACTTCTTGATTTAATATGGCGATCTGAAGACTCTTACACAAGTCGTATAATTCTTGTAAAGCTGTTGTTGTAAAGTTTTCTGTATATGAATGTAGGAGAACAATGTAGCTTCAGTATTCCAAATACAATTACGTCATTCATATACAGAACCCCTTAAGCAGCTGTTTTTGTGGATTATCAGCAACAAACTAACGTGGTTTTGAATTCACTTATTCACTTGATTGATGCTCACCACTCCCGGTTTAGAAACAAAGGAGGAACGTTAGCCTGAAATTTAAATTTTGTCTAACCTCAAATTGCTTATTTGGTGAACCATCGGTGTATTTGACACGATTGCCACTTATCTAGATAGCCTGGCAATAATACGAAGAGGTTTAGTAACTTTGTAAGACTTTTTGACATAACCACCGAAAAACCGTGAAAAGAAATGAACTCAATAAAAATATAGCATGTTCTAAGTAGTTATGGTATGTCAGTTTGACAGCACCGTCTCAGTGAATGCGGACTCACACAAGAGAGAGACATACAGTTCCTTGTCAGAATTTCGAGCCATCTGCGAGCGAATTGTCAAACCAGGCACGGCCCGCTAATAGATTGCTGTTTTTTCTTGTACACTAGTAATGGTGGTTTAACAAAACATATGACACTGCTCTCCAGCAGAAGATAAAGGCACACAGAACCTTCTTACAAAACCCCGCTGTAGAGAACAGACAAGCCGACGTCGAGTCCAGAAACAAATATAACGAAGCGATTCGCAATGTCAAAAACCAGCACGATATGAAAGTTAGGCACAGGGTAACGTCGCAGCGCTATGTCAGTCGGTCTTTCTGGACGCTGGCCAAGCAGATTGAAAAGAACTTCTCACACAGTAGCCTTCCACCACTTACGTGTCAGGATGGAACTACTGTATTCAACAAAGGCCTAGGCGAAAGTGCTAGCCAAGATCTTTGCTGCCAACTCCACCATGCCAATGCACAAGTGCCGTCAATTCAAAGGTTTCCCTACACTATGCGGGAGGTAACATTCTGGCATAAGACCGTAAGACGAGTGCTCTCGTCGCTCGACATCAACAAAGCTTCTGG